ACACACAGCATCCACCTGAAGATCAAAGGTCAGCTTGTCAGCAATATCAGCACCAACATATTTATAATGCTGCACAAGTTTAACAGCCAGGTCCTCAATCAGTACTGGACCAATGAAATCTAAAATCTATCGTCATCTCTTGTCTTGTCTTGTGTTGAGTCTTAGACACAGTGACGTCCAAGAAGGAAGACTTGCACCAGTTTGGGAATCCTGCCACTGTAGGACCACGATCAGAGTCATTACTGCCTCACATATAGCTTTAATATAGCTTTAGCACTCATTTGTGTACAACATTAATAAAGAGTTGAGAGGATGCATCCCTGAGCCGATCCGGTGGAGGAGAGAAGAACATGTGATAAGACACCAATAACCTTAACACGTTGCAAAATTCCTGTTAAGAAAAGCATCAGCCAAGATACCAGACCAAGATCAGTGTTGTGGTTGTTTTCAGTGGTTGCTCTAGAAAGTGAGGCTGGACACAGTTTAGTTCAGTAGAAAAGTTAAGATCAGGCCACCAATAAAGGAAATTGGGCATTTCTTAAACTGCATCCCCATCATGGATTTCACAGCCTCTCATGCAGTGAGCGAATTACCCGTACTGAGCATGTTCTCTACTCTGGCCCCATAGCTACAGCAAACTTTAATTTTTTAAAAAACATGTTCCCATAGTTCCCAGTACAGAGTTACAAACTTATTTAACTGGATAATTGGGTTTTTCTCCATTTGGAGTGGGAAACATCACAGAGGTTAAAATATTAGGCACAGCTCCAAAAGTCAGTTGAGCTAAGATAAAATGACACATTTCTCTTAAGATTTCTCCGATTTGTGTGTTTTTATCATGTTCCATAGTCACTCTGCAAAAACTGCTCATCACAAACCAATTTTCAACATTTAAGAAAACATTTTTAATATAATCTAAATTCTTTAAAAGGTTTAACTTACAAAACTGTATAAACCAGAGCCATGTTTACTATATGCATCATTCAAATTATACTACATTAACAATGTGTATTTTATTTTAAAAATAAAATACATTTGTCAGAGATTTTGGTCACTGGCATCATCAGGACTGATTTTATATTTTAACACAGTGTGTTCAGCTCTACTAAACTGCTTTCTTGAGTCAAGGCTCATCAGAGAGGAAGCAACTCAAGGAGTGAAAAGATGAGCCAATATTTGCTCATTAGATTTTCTTAATTAATTAATAATTTTGTTTATCAGGCAGCACATAATGTCTATGTGTCACTGGTGTTACGTGCTTTAGTCAAATTCAGAATCACTTTATATCTCTGAGTGTGTTACACAGGAATCAGTCTCCACATGCATGACAGTAACACACTGAACAGACCAGACAAACACAGAACGATCACAAGGATTAAACTAAGAGACAAATACAATAACAATGCAGTAAAGAGAATGAAGAACAAAGATCAAAGAATAATAAAGAGCCATGGAGGAGCTAAAGAGAAGCGTGAATATCTTTTTGAAGTACATTTGAAAGCCTGATGACATACTTTAAAAACTATTATATACAGATTATTACAGAATGATGTGAATATTTGCAGAAATGTAACATCTGTACAGCTGTTTTAATAAGCACTATGTTACAGAGAAGTTACTGTAACGTCCACTGTGGTTAAAGATCTACAGCTCTGGGGAAAAAGCTGTCAGCATGTCTGTCTGTGCTGGTTTTGATAGTCCTGAATCTTCTACCAGAGGGGAGTGTCTTTTAGGTGATGTCCAGGATGAGAGGGGTCAGCTGTAATTTTGCTGGCGCACTTCACTGCTGTTGTAGATGTCCTGAAGCCCACCAACATCTCCACCAGCTGCTCAACTTTTTTTCTGTAGGCTCAATTTGACCAATTTGATGTTTTTATAAAGTGTCCACACCATTTGGATACAAAGACACTGTTCAGGGTCAGATTTGACCCAGTAGTACAGAATGACGGTCGAACGCAGCAGATTAAGGGAAACACAGTGCAGATAAAGTTTATAATAGTTTGTAAGGTTTTACACACACACATACGCAATCAATGGGAATCAGATATTTATTATCAGGGGAGGGGCCATACTCATATAAGGGTCCTGTGCAGGACAGAGCCCACCTGTCTCTCTGCATAGTTCAATCTGCTGCCACCATAACAGCTAAAAGGAAGTTCACAGCCCATAAAATCCATGAAATCGCTGATTAAGAAGATGGCGATGCTGATAATAAAATAGGAGAAGTGTCTGAAATAGAGAAGTCAGTTCAGAGCTTGAGGAACTGTCCTCTGATGAGGAACCTGGTGTGCAGCAAAATGTTGAAAGGGAGGCATTAATGTTAAAAATAACATCCTCACCCCCTCTGAAACTCGGGGTAGGATGGCACCTCAAAATACAATCAGATTGAGCCCAGGACAAACAGGGTCTGCAGGAAAAATGAACAACACGTTTTTGGTTTTATTTGTAACATAAGGGTCAGTTTTGACCAAAAAATATTGTGAATTTATTCATAATATGATATCAACACAAATCAAATATCTACATGCTATAAAGCGATAATCAAACATCAAACAATATACACACATTCACAAGTCATTATCAAAATAAAATGACTCAATAAAATCAATGAAAATAAACAAGATTAAGTTTGTGGAGTGAAGTTCAAAAGCCTGATAGCAGGCGGGTCGGTGCTTTTACTAAACAATGCTTTGAAACGTTTTTCCAGAAAAGAGCAATTTGAAAAAGGTGCTGTACAATTTTTATTGCTTTCTTTTTCCATCCTTCTGGTATAAACAGAGACAACAGACGGAAGTTCGCAACCAATAATTTTGGAGGCGATACGCACCACTTTCTCCGGCTGCTCTCTCTCATATGCTGTCGTCCTCTTATACCACACATATGGAGAAGGTCAACACACTTCACAGCTCTAAAAAGCACATCATTCAGTCTCTTTTCACACCAAATGTCTTAAGCTGTCTTATAAAGAAAATCACTGGATGAGTTTTTACCAACAAGACAGCAGTGATGCTCTCCCACTTAAGAGATGAGCTGATGGTCGTCCCCAGGATCCCAAACAAGGCAACCATCTCCACCTCCCTGTCATTGATGGTCAGACATGGTAGGCCCACCTTCTGTCTCCTGAAGTCAACCACCAACTCTTTTGTCTTTTCAATATTCAGGCTTAAGTTACTCACCCTGTTCTACTCCACTAAGACTGCAGCCATGTCCCTGTATGCAGTGTCATCGTTTGACACCAATCCCAACAATGTTGTATCATCTGCAACTTATACAATTGTACAGAATCAGAATCTGATATACAGTCACTGGTTAACAGAGAATATAACAGAGGAGACAGAACGCAGCCCTGTGGGGGGCAGTATTGAGAATTTGAGGATAGGAAACCACAGTATTCATTCTATCAACCTGCTTTCTATTAGACAGAAAATCAAGAATCCAATAGCACAAAGACTGGTGGACACCAGACGTCTGAGGCCTATCAAGGAGCCTTAAAGGCAACAGTGAATGAAATGCTGGGCTACATTATATACATTAGATTCGTGCAGATGTACCTGGTACCTCCAGGTGTTGCAACATAGAATGTAAGCTGAGTGACATTGTGTCCAGAGACAGCGCTGTAGCACTGCTTTGAAATTTTGTCCCCTCTGGTAGAAACATGAATCTGCTTCTTATATCTTGGTAGTGATTTATTGAGGCTAATATGATTAAAATCTCCCAAAATAAAACCAGATATATAAGAGGATAAGAGTCCTCTATTTGCATTATGTGCGTAGCCAGATGCTGGGTTGCAAGGAGGGCACTGGCTAGTGGTGGATACAGACAGTGACCAAGATGACTAAAGAAAAATCTCTCAGTAAATAAAGAGGCCTACACTTTATGGTAAGGGCTTCTGACTCAGGAGAACATATACATGAAAGTTCTTTTGTGTCGGAGCACCACCCATTATAATACAAACACAATTCCCCACCTGTCTGTCTAAGTGAAGCGAACATATGGTCAGCTTGATGCAGAGTAAAGTCCTGCTGGTGGAGCGCAGAGTCAGGAATGTTCCCATCCAGCCATGTTCCCGCAGAGCACATCACAGAGCTGAGTTGATAAGGACGTCTTCCTTATTTACCAGAGACGGTACATTGGGAAGAACGAGGACTGGAAGTGCTGAGTGGTGTTTGGGCAGCCTCAGGCGAACCAAACTCCATGTTTCCTTGTCCTAATCTGCTGCTTATTATGCCTGTTTGATCATTCTTGGTTAGTCCTCAGAACAAATTCCTCTGATGAAAAAAACCTGGAAGGGTTAAGATGAAACATGCTGTCCTAAATATGCAGCAGTTCTAATCGCTTGTACGTGAACAAGCAATCAACATAAGATACATTAAACATGAGACAACCAAACACACCAACAAACAAAAGAGCAACACATTGTCACCACGACCAGCATCAACTTCGACATTCATACTGCAGTTTGAAACATTGACCAGTTGTCAGAAGGTTACGGTCCACTTGCAATGGAGAGCTATGCTACATTACATGGTGCAGAATGGTTTTCGGGGAGGCAAAATCTGCCTTGTGTCTAATGTTCTAGCTTGTGTGGACGATGGATGCATTCTGATATAGAAAGGTGGCAGGTAGCCTAGTGGTCGGAGAGGTGAGCCAGCGACTGGAAGGTTGTGAGTTGGGCAAGACACTTAATCCCCGATTGATTGGGAGCAAAATGACAACTTTCATTTATAGGACCAATAAAGTACATAAGCATACGTCTGTATTTCAGTCTCATTGAAAGCTTCTGTACAACAGCAAACAGCGTATCAGATTGTTTACTGTCCAGATATGTTCAATACTGTGCCTTCATTTCCATAACAACACAGTAGCGCCTACCAGTGGTGAGCAGCGAGAGCTGGTGCTCCGGAATGTGGTGATTACACAACAATATCTGTCATCCTTATCTGCCCAATTATCAAGAACACCTTGTGACTTTTGGCTACGCAACACCTCCAACAAACTATAAAAGTAACGAATCGGCACAATTTCCATCAGTTTCTTCGCTCAGAAGCTTTCGTTTTGAAAGAGTGCTGGGTTTGATCGAAACTTCGCAGACGATTGGCTCGAGATTCAAAGGTAGTGTTTCAAATCTTCCTTCTAACCTCTGTATTTTTGAAATGATCTGAAATGAAATCAACATTGAACAGCGACATTTACTCTGGTAAAAGCCCTAAAGGGTTAAACTGTTCTGTATGTATGTTTACACTGTGCATGTAGAATCTCTGATATGTTAAAAATCTATCACTGATCTACTTTGATTGAAATTTCTATGCAGTCTCTGTCAGCATGGCATTCCGGTACTCTTTGCTCCTTTCGGTCATGTGTCTCCTCGCTGTTCACCAAGCAGGTGAGAAAACATAACCATTTCACATATTTACTAATTAAGGACAGTGTATAAAGTAGTTTATGTGATTCATGGGAATGAGATAAACTAACAACTCCGGCACTCAGATTAGGAGACTGATCTGCATTCACATGTATGTATTGGTGACACTGGTGTGAAATAATTGTTTTTGTTGAAAATTATATTTAGATCAAAATATGATTATGAGGATAAAGTGGAAAGTGGCTTTTTTGTTGTGAAATAATGCTGGAACAGTGCATTTTTGCATTTTGGCCCCTTTTTAAGCCGAACATGATTGGATGATTCTACTGAACTGGTTCAAAGTCAAAATTAAAAACACAAATGAATCTTGGACTTTAGGCTAAAATCATTTTGCTTTGAGTAACCCTATACCTTAACCATGGTTCTTTTATCAAAACTTCATATTTAATATTCATTATTAAATATAATGGTTGAACATTCCATTTTGTCACTACCAAAACAATCATAACTCGACCCAAACTTTACCAAATGTTTCAGTAGTGATTTTTTCGGTAGAGATAATTTTAGTTCATTTTGAACTCAAAAACGCAGCCAGAACATGACCAGCAAACACAGCTTTGAACAGCTGTTCACACAGAAAATCATCATCTTTTTCATTAAAACACTAAAAAACTGCAGAGAACGTGACGATTCCTCATGTTTCACACTGATTCATTATAATAGCATAGCAAGTCAGTCAGTCATCAGTAGATTATAATGTTAATGTTACAGTATGTATGATTTTACATACCAAATGAAAGAACAAAGTCTTAGAAATGTATTCACTACATTTTCATAACTTATTTCAATACAGTATTTATACAGTGAGTGTCCACTCATGACAAGCTGCCCCATCAGCGGGTAAGAAGTCACTCTGGATTTTGCAACACATACAATCAATTCTTTGTTGGGTTATTCTTTGATTTTTTTTTTACTTTTAATTACTTTTACTGTAAAATTAATTGCCACTTCAAAAAAAAAAATAAAATAAAATAAGATAAAAAAAAGGTGAATTAGTCACTGAACTTAGTAATCCTTAATCACTGGGTCAGTTCTGGAGTGTTGTAGGGCTACAACCACAACAACTGGAAAATCATTTCAAACAATCTTTCACATAAAACATTTCAAGCATTTAAACAAAACTAGAATGCATTAAATCTGCCTTTTGTTCCAGTAGGTTCTAGATTATCTGACATAGACATCACTAAACATCATCATCGCACTCACAGTTCTGGCACATGTAAATTACCTGGCATCATATGTGATAACTTGCCCCAAAATTACTGGGACAAGTTGCCCCAAACTGCCCTGTTGGCTGATATTTGCCATATTTTCAAGTTTAGTGCAGGACATTAGGAAGGGAATTCTCTCCTCTGCTAAGTACAAATGAGGAATGGCGAAGATTTTAAATAGATAAAAATGTACCGTTCCTTTTTTACTTCAGAATGTGGCAAATCTGTGCCCATGTCTGCATTTCTCAGACAGGAAATGACATCAGACCAAGTAGATGCACAAAACTTGTACTCCACTTTAAAGTAGCACCCTCTCAGAAATATAAACAGTGTGACAACTCACCCATGTGAAAGATGCCTGGCAGCCATGAGGGACAAGGAAGCAGTCTCACTGCTTTAAAATGCAGGGGTGTGGCTAAAATAGGGCTCCACCCACAGGCTGAAACTTATTGGCTGTGTTTGAAATAATGTAACACACACTGCTTGCACACAGATTCTGCCTGAAACTTTACAGTACATACTCTGAACAACTCTTACAGCAGTGGATTCAGTCTTTTACAGATACGTAAATGCAATGAAAGGAGATCACTTGTCTGGCTGATTTCTTGGCTGGTCTATTTAATGAAGTTCCATTACTGCGTAAAGAACGTTGTTAATATAGTAACTTAGTAAAGTTGGTCTGAGCCAAACAATCCACTTAGCATCTGCGTTTCAGGCTCCCTTGTGGAACTGCTTAATTTTCCTACTATTACCAGCTACGACTGTAAAGAAAATGTAAAGACAAAGAAACAGGTGTGTTTGGAGACCACACAGGTTTGACCACACAAACTAATCCAAAGCTTTATCTATGGCTTTGGAGATGGATAGAAAACACAACCCCCAACTCTTATTGTAAAACCCAGCCACAGGTGTTGCTGAAGACCTGACCTGAAAAGGCTGAAAGTGACTGGCAACAGCTGATAAGTGATGATTGGAGGGCTGGGCTAAGGTGTAATTGGCTCTGTGCCTGATGTTGGCCAGCTAGTTGGACCACTTTTCTCTTGTACACAGATTGTGTTGTATATTGGATACTATACTGTATACTACTATGAAGAGTAGTATGCATTATCAGTATGTAGTGGTGCAGTATGCAGTATGTAGTATGCCATTTTGAATACAGTGTTTTGATAGTGACAAGAAAACATGGGAAAGCATTTTTTGAATAAAATGTTTATTTAAAGATTTAACCTCATGATAAATCTAATTTTCTAAACTTTAAAGAAACTTAAAAACAACACTGGACACAAAACACAACACAAAAAATGCAAAAAATGTAATATAGCCGCAAGTGGCAATCACTGGGGTCTGAGCACCGTCAGCCCCACGAGGCACTCATGTTCATAAACTTCAACGTTTGTAGATAATTCTTGCATTACAACATCAGGATACAAGCCTTAACTTGTTGCCCTGCACCAACAGCTCAGAGAGGATTTGAACTCTCACTTTCACATCAGAAGGGTGATGTTTTCATGGTGAGCCACAAACAGATCATGACAGCCGAGTTCTTTTTCAGATAATTTATAAGACAGAGGCCAAGCGCCATCTTAGCAACTATTTCCTAGCTTTGCTTTATTGTACTACTGAGAATTATTTGGGCAGTGTTTATCAATATTTAATTCTGTCCCCATATACCCATGAGACCATGCAGTTGTAGGGACAATTAGGAGCCCAAGCCACATTTTTGCAACTAGTTCCAAACTCTAAATAATTTTGTTATTTGTAACGTGTGTTCAGAACTAATTTAGCAGCTTTTCAGTATTACATTGTCTATTTTTATAGAGAATGCAGCCACTTTCATGAACTTTTCTCTACCTCAAAAGGACTAATTGACATGTGGTGGCCATACTGTTTATAAATATCCATTGTTTAATGATTCTCAAGACTCTTGTGAAGATTCAAGCTTTGAAATCTTGAAAATTCACTAGATCAAGTCATGTTTTTGAGGCAGGAGATAACTACTCCCAGTTATGCAATTATGTAGAATAAACAAAGAATACTGTGGAAAAAAAAGTTTTTTATACTGTAGGTCTCATGGTTCAGTAGAGACTGACCAAACCATTTAGTGTAGTGCTAACCAGGGTCATTTTACTTGCCTGAGTAGTGGGTCAGATGCTGCACCTTTTTTTTTAGAAAATTATTGAGTTTCTGCCTCTTGCTAAGACTTGTTAGGACAACTCAGAACCTTCACATTGAAAGGGAGATGATTTCTTGGTGAGCCATCACAGGCCAATAGCAACAATTGCATTTTTGAGACAATTTATTTGTGAGTGGCAATTTGGAGCCAAGCACCATTTTAGCAACTAATCCCCAACTTTCAATTACTTTTTTTTTGGGGTGTATTTTTGTACTGCACTGTCTTCTTACATTCCAAATTTGGTTACAATTGGGTGATCCTTGAAAGAATTATAGACCCTTTAGTAAGAATAACCCAACCCCTACTTATTGATTCATGTGCTGTAGCCCTAATGGGCAAAATGTCAAGATTTTTTGGATAATTGTTTACTTTTAGTCTCCACAGTTTGCTTCTAGACCAGTTTTGAGACAATATGATTAAAACTAGGAGGCTAGTTCAAAAGTGGCCTTTTTCATACCTTCTGCATTTGCTGAAAAACTTTTTTTATTATTAAACAACTTTAATAATATACTTACATTTAGAAAACTGTCAATCTCAGAGCACTGCATGACATGATCAGTTAGTTTATTACAGTAATGTTTCTTTAACTTAAATGTAAGAAGAGATAATCATAGTTTATGAAATTAGCAAAAGATTGAGCGCTGTAGGGCAACCAGAGGCCAGCTGAAACCAAATGTTGCATATACACTCAGTTGATCAATGTGCAGATATGTTGCAAATTTCCACACAATCAGACGATGAATGAAAGGCTTCTTCAGTCAGAATAACCCAACTCACATATATTGATTTGTGTGCTGCAGCCATCATGTGCAAATTGTTTTTACATTTTTTTGATAATTATTTACTTCTAAACTCCACAGATAATTACAGATTAATTCTAAACCATTTGGAGACATAATGAACATTGAGAAATTAGTTTGAAATTGGTCTTTTCCAAACTATGCACTATTACAGAAAAACTAATAAGGTTTTCTAAAAGACTTCTTTCCCATAAAATGTTTTTTTATGAATTGCACCTCCTAATTGCCAATTGATGTCAATCATAGGGTATTAGAAAATGCCCATATGTACATACTATTCAAGGTACATGATGACTGTACAATGCTAAACCTGCCTAATAGCTGCTAAAAGATAATTGACTGATGGCGGCCATATTTTCCAATTATTGATTCTTAACCACGCTGTTAAGTTCAAAGATACAGCCTCTAAAATTACAGCTCAATCAGACAAGTGGCAGCTGAGAAACAGTTTTAAGACTTTATAGTGCCTCCTGTTGACCAACTGGCTCTAAAGTTTTGTGAGAAGTTTTGTAAGAGATCCTGATCTGAGGTCCCAGTCGGCCATGCCTGGTAGACCTTAAATGGGAGGCACCAGGGGGGCATCCTAATCAGACACCTGAACCACCAGTGTCCACAAGCAGGTTCTCAGTCGCCACTCAGACAAGCGCCAACAAGCTTTTGGCCACAGCTATACCTGGCAACTTCCACAATGGAGGTTTTGAACAGGGCCAATCGGACTTAATATCCCCTACTATATCTGGTACATGAGAAGAGTTCTCACAGGGGTGGAACCAAACTTCTTGATAGGGGTTGGTCCCTCTCCTACTCAGGACTTGCCCAAAGTGAGAGGCATTGGGATGGTGAGGGGATACTCACAAGCCCCTGGCTGGCTGCCATTCAGTTAGAGTTTTGGTGAATGAGAGGGTCACCTCAATGTGAATTAAAATCACAGAGAGAAAAACTCTGACTGTCGTGTGTGCTTATGCTCCAAACAACAGTTTGGAATATTCAGTCTTCTTGGAGTGAGTGGGTGGGGTTCTGGAAAGAGGCCCATCTACAGACTCTATAGTCTTGCTCAGAAATTTCAACGCTCATATTGGCAAAGACTGGGAGACATGGAGGGGGGAGTGATTGGGAGGAACAAAATGCCTGATCTAAACTGAATGGTGACTTGTTATTGGACTACTGTGCTAGCTCCACTCTGAAAGGACTAACTGGCCTGTGTTGTTCACAAATATGAATCATTTTCCTAATTCTTGACCTGCACAGTCTCAAAGATTTGAAACCAGTATCATTAGGATATCTCAAACGATTCACAGATTCGTTCACGAATTTATGTTTGAGCAAGTATTGATTAGGTAGTGGACCACTACCACATGGCAGTGACACAGCAGTGTCTGTGGTGCTGGTATGAGTGGCTCACAGCCAACAGGGGTTTTAAACACCTCAATGCCAAACTGACTGAAAATAGTCTGCCAGCCAGAAATATTCATCTAACGACATTCTGTGGTTAGACACAGTTTGAAAACGAAATACACCTGTACCATGAAAATCATGGCTGTAGAAGCCTATGATGAAAACAGCCACGTTAATGTCCAGTGTTTTCCTGAACTGAACTGAATTGAACCACCACATCAGAAAGTCAAAGATTGTCAAAATTGTAGGGTTTGTTGTTTTTGGCCAAACTTGCCATCTTTTTAGATATTCAAACTTTTACAATCTGTTGTTGATGCAGTTGCTGAGGAAAAAAAACAGGCTGTTCTCAGGGACTCTAGCTGGAAATCGTATGGATCTCGCGAGTTCAAATTCTTTGGCCTCAAAAGTACATGGGAGGAGGCTGAGGTATGTTTGTTCAATACTGTTCCTACAGGTGTGTATATATATGTGTGTGTGTGTGTATTAGACGTCCAAACAGGTTGGATTAAAGTAAATGTCCGTCTTGGTTAAACGTGTGTCTCCCTATCAATTCTCCCTGTAGAAAACCTGTGTGCGGAACAACGCACATCTGGCTTCAGTGCATGATGAGAATGAAGACAATTTCATTAAGCGTCTGATTCACGCTCAGTCTAACAAGAACATTGCAACGTGGCTCGGAGGCTACCGTAGTAAGACTGTAAGTTAAGCTAGCACGGTGTTCTGCACGCTCACTCTCCTCTCTCTGGGACATGGATACTCATTTCAGATTGTTGTTCTTCAGGCTCGTGATCGCTGGTACTGGACTGATGGCTCTCATTTTGACTTTGCTGAGTGGGCCCCAGGTGAGCCGAATGGCTCCGGACAATGTCTGCAGACCAACTACTATGGTAATGAGATAAGAGGTCTTCTCAAAATTTTCTCAAAGGTTTCCACATGCTCTGCTGGTGGCTACAAGCTCATCTCTCTAAGAAATCTTTCTGGCATAATCGTCTTATTATGTTTATGATTTACATTTATTATAGCATTATGCTTAAATTGCCATATTTTCACCACTATGCTGTTATAATCATTGGAATATTGTGTTTTTTTTTCATTATGAGTTTATATTTCACTATTCTTACAGGAGCCTGGGATGATCTGGTTTGCTACTATAAACGTCCTTTTGTCTGTGCTCGAAAGGCCAAAACTGGTGAGTTTTGTTTTTTCTGCGTTGTGTAGCTGGTCATAGAAAGCTGTTATTGATGTTGTTTTATTATAAAAGAGTACCTGACAGTCTGGTTTTTGTCAGCCACTGTGCATTTTTTAATCTATAAATATTGATCCCGACCTTTAGCGTATGGTGTTTGTGTAGCGAACTGACACAAGCTTGTATGAAATGACTCAAATGAATTAAGGCAGGACTATTAGTGATATTTAATGTTCGCATCTCTTCATACAAGAACATTCCAATGAAACGGTTTTAGTTCAGAAGATTTTCTACAGATTTTTCTTCAGATTAGTCACATAGTAAGAAGTAAATCAAATGTATTGTGTTGTATTTGTTCAATGTATGGTTTGTGTTGGGATAGAGTGTAAGCTATGTTCATGGTGTACAGATTATATTTATTTATCTTTCTGACCCCACCCCACCTTGGAGGACCATTAACACTTTATTAGTGGTGATCCATAGTAAGATCAGTGCCTTTAAGGAGAAGCACGTACTGACTAGCACAAAACAACTAATATATAAGAGAGGAAAAAGGTGGAAAAAAGAAGAAATAAAGAAAAAAAAACAAACAAAAGGCAATAAAGAAAAGGTGCTACTAATCTGGAAGGTGTGTTAGAGGACATTAATGGGAAAGACAGATGAGTGTTATAACGTTATAATTTACAACTGCTGTATTATCAATCAGTGCAGAATCTTAAATTACAGGCTAGATCATAGGGCATGCTGCATATGCAAAAGTTTAAGTGTCCCTGGTCAAATCACACGTTTAGTTGATTTTCTATGGCCCTGTTCACACTCAATTTCAACATCCATCTCGAGTGATCTGATCATTAGCGGACAGTGAGACTTGTAGTTGCTCAGACCTAGCATGTCTGTGTGATTGGATTTAGTGACTGGAGGAAGGTACCACCCACTTTTACTACGTCAATGTCTCGCTGTGTGTTGTCATGTAAAAATGCAGCATGATTCCATGTTTGTGTAAATGAAAGGGCTGTTTCCAATGTTTAGTCCACATAAACCACAAACATGACCTGTAAACAAACAGTAAAGCAGAAGAAAATTAAGCTGCGCAGCTGATTTGGTCTCTGCTGTGATGATGCAGCTGATTAATGTGGTCCTTCAATGCTGAAGATGCATCAATATGCTTAAGTGTCCACACTGTAAATGTTAAGTGGTCAAACATTTAGCTGTCCACCACCGAAGGGGCTTTGGGTGATCGGATCACAGCATGTCTCTGAGATGTACCGTACACCATTCACACCTGCCCTTAGTGCTGTCCACTTACAATCAGATCACCTGTATGCATGTTATGGGCCAGTGTGAACAGGGCCTAACTGAAAATATGTTAACACCCATTTTATTGCACAATGACTATTTATTTACTTACTTTATCACATTGGAAAAAAAATGCTTATGCATAAGTTATAGCCTCTTTTATATTTTATATATTGTATTTTTTCAGCAAATACATCGAGATTGTACACTACAGTTTGCAGAACAAATGCCACATTTAAATGCTTTCACTCTACAGCGACAATGAGTTAACTTATTTTCACTTAGAAATTAAACATTTGAGTAAAAATTTTGCATTTGACTGCATATCCATATAGTTACTTCCATTACAGTCAGCAGAATGAATGAACGCTGCATTTTAGAATCATTGAGGTTAGGGTTGGGGATGATTCAAGAAAACTAGAGAAGAATTTGAGATTCTTACTTACAAAGCTGTGGATCTGCTAACAGGACACCCAGTGCACTTTATGAACATTAGGTTAAACTGCAGTTTCTTCCAAAAGTAACATTCTTCCACCTTCTGTAGTAAAAGTTTGTTTCCAAGTTTCACACTGAAGTTATGAATCAAAAACAAATGAAAGTTCATCACCCAGAGTCTCTTTATTTTCTACTTTCTAAAATACAGTGAGTCTGTTTACATTTAGCATTTACATGTGTTTTGTGTCCTGATCGTATATAAAATCTTTGACCGGACTCCGATTACACTTTTCACTAAAACCTATCCCACTGTCGGGATACTGTCGGGAAACAGGCCTGGCTCTGATCATTTCATCTGATTGGAGTGCAGGAATGTTTTTAATTAAATAAAACAGTTGTTTTGTTGTTTGTCCCTTCGCCCCACAAGTCAGTACTCAGCAGACACATTTCTGCTCATGTAATTGCATTCAGATATCTAATATAATGTTCTGTGTTGTGTTAAATGTAGTCAAGATCCGTCTCTGACCACCTCCGAATTTTGAGTGACCCGATTGTAATCTGCTCACAGTGTGTGCTGTGGAAAGCTTTTCATCCATTCGCAATCCAAGCGAGATCCGATCACCAAAACGCATGTTAATGTGAGGTGTAAACAGGTCCAGTGTAGCCCAACATTTCTGTCAGTTTGACACTTGAATTTGATCTAATGGATCTTTTTCTTGTTTTAGGTGCTTTCAAAAGCCTGATCTGATCTGAACTGCTCCTTTGAGAACCCTTCTGCGTGTGACAAAAAGCCCACAGAAGGATCAACCCTTCAGCTTTGAGAGCCCCAGATATTAAAGATAAAAGAATGTTACTGTGATCGTGTTTTCAGTTTCTATTTGATCTAAAAATGTGTGTGTGAACGGGGCTGTGATTGATATCAAATAAAATTCAGCACTGCATAATTCCTGCTCTTTGATTGACTCATCACCCTTCTGTATTATTAGTGTTCTTACTTAGGAGACGTGGTCACTACGTTCCAGCATCCACAAACTGTACAGTAGTCCCTTTTTTCTTTAATGCTCTGATACTAAATTTGACATATTGCACAGCATTTGGTTTCTAAATTAAATTATGAGTTTTTATCTAATATACCCACAGCAGCCAGACGTATTTGCAGTGGCTCAATGTTCTTTTATGCAATGTGTAATTATGTAATATACTCTCCCTCAGCTGTTTTACTTTATCATTAGTATATATTTATTCATCAGATACAGTGTGTTACACAGGTTCATTCACTAAAACAACAACAACAACAACAACAACAAATCAAAGATAAAACACAAAGTTCCTACAGTTCTTTAAAGGCAAGATGTGACAGTGAGTGTAAATACAGATTCGGGGAGACCAGACAGGTGTCTGAATCCCCAAATCTAATATAGTGTAGCTTTAAGATGTAAACACAGTGGTTCAGAGAGGTTCAGAGTGGTTTGGTGTGAAACACTCTAGAGAATCTTACCAAGTCAGAATTGTTCACAGTGGTGGTGATAGGAACCAGACGTCTAAAGAATGTAATGCATCTAGAAGCTCTCACACTGTAAGCTATCATATGAAATGGTTACATATACATTGCTGGATGCTTCAGATATTGTTGAAAAAACAATAAAGTTTTGTTTGAAACACATGCACAGTGGAGAGGCACATGCGGGACATTTCCAGACCAGTATTCCCCCAAAAATATAGATATGCTATATGGTATTTTGAGATATACCACAATTTTATCATTATCAACATAACACTGCAGTGATATGATATAATAAAGAATACTAACAAAGTGACACCAGGTGAAATGGTAATGGGTAAAACGCTCACAGCTTCACAGCTTCACAGCTTGTTCAGAAGCCTGACTGTTCATTAACCTGAATGCTGTGGAATCTCCTGCCTGATGGCAGGATGGTGAACAGGCCGTGTGCTGGGTGACGCTGTCTGACCGAATCTTTTTGATTTTCCTGAGGCAGCTGGATTGGTAGACGTCCTGTAAGGCTGGTAGTTTCTTGCCTATGATGGACTCATCACTACTCCTCACCACTCCTTTAAGGGCCTTAGGGTCGCAGGCAGTGCAGCTGCTGTACCAGACAGTGATGCAGCCTGTAAGGAGGCTCTCTATGGGGCATCTGTAGAAGTTGGTGAGGATCTGAGGAGGCAGACCAAACTTCCTGAGCCTGCGCAGGAAGAAGAGACGCTGACGGGCAGATCTCACAATAGTGTTGGTGTGGAGGGACCAGGTGAGGTCATCAGTGAGGTGTACACTGCTGACTTTCTGTCCACTTTGGCTCCACTGATGAACAGGGGAGAGTGACCACCCCTCTGCAGCTTCCTGTAGTCCACGATCATCTCCTTAGTTTTGCTGATGTTGAGACAGAGGTTGGCTCCACTCTGACAGAGCGCTGACCTCGTCTCTGTAGGCTGTTTCATCTCCATCAGTGATGAGGCCTAGGATGGTGGTATCATCAGCAAACTTGAAGATGATGTTAGATGTGTGTCTGGCTACACAGTCATGTGTATACAGGGAGCACAAGAGGGGGCTGAGCACACATCCCTGGGGAGCCCTGGTGCTCAGAGTCAGTGTGGAAGAGAAACTGTTTCCTACTTTCACCACCTGGGGTCGCTCATCAGGAAGCCCAGTATCCAGTTACGGAGATGAGAGTTCAAACCCAAGTCTGTGAGCTTGATTTGGTAATTACAAAAATGTTGGTCAAGAGAGGAGCAGGAGAGGAGATGGAGCTGGCCCGGTTCAGGTGATCTCTGCACAGTGAGGAAGTTGCCCTGGTGCAAGTGGCCCTGTTGCCTAGCGCATCATGTTTCCCCTAACCTTCCACAAGTCTGGGTAAACTGGACACACCATCTACATGTGACGCCTTGCGGGCTGTCTTGAGACAAGTCTTTTGAGTGTAGAATTGTGTGTGACATTCCAGCATTGCTTTAATCTGAGCCTCCAATGATTCCAGTTTTTTGTGTGTGTTGATGTCCCACTCTTAGTTTCGTAAAGTCATACAGCATTTTACTAAAATATTAACAATATAAAATAAATAAATAAATAAATAAAATCAAGAAAATAATAAAAAAAAAACACTACAAAGAAAATGTGTAAAATAAAATAAACAACAACAATATAAATATATAATTAGTAAAATGAAATAAGGCTAGACACACAGCCCAGGATAAAACCTGTTGTCTCAAATGGTTGCTAAGCAGTAAAAAGTTATTAGGTGGTTGCTATGGTCTAAATTGGTTTCTAAGTGGTTAGTGGTTAGTAGTTAGGTTTGGGTTAGGATTGGGTCAGGGGAACATATCTGACTCAAGTGAAAAGGGAAGCAGAAGAGGATGAGGCCAAGTGTGCTTCTCTGGACTAACACACTGGAGTCCTGCACAGACGTGCTGACCGCTTCCACCTGAATACACACTGAATACACTCACAGTATAAAACTGAATCACCTCAATCACTTCACAGAGCTCAATCAGGCAGGAGACGGACGAGCACTGTTTAGAGATGGACATAATATCAGAAACACATTAGTACTGATTAAATATACGAGTTAATATTTTGTGCCTGTATTATAAAGCCTGCATTCTGAATAAAGCCAGCTGTGTGTGGAACACAGTTTCAGAAACATTATGCTCTCATTATTTTGTGCGTGTGGGCTTGTGTGTTTGAGAGCAGAAGAGCAATGGTTGATGTGAAGAAACAGTTTGTAATTTAGTTTTTATCTGATGATTGTTAATTATTATTGTGTGTTTTGTTACTAGTGTATTGTTTGTGTTTGTGTGTGTTTTTGCATCACTGATCAACTGAATTTCCTACTTAAAATAGTAAAGCTTGACTTAAAGAACTCATACCACTGAATGTAATCATCATCTATCATTATATCACACTATCGTTATAGTCTCTATCTAAAAGATGCACAAATTTGTTTTGCAGTTATACAGATTATTTTAGCCCAGACTGCTTTTATGAGGTACAATACAGGATAACCAATCAGAACAGAGGTCATTTACATATATTTGCCTCATGGCCGGACTGGTCCGGTTGCTTCTCCAGAGGGCACTGTAGAACGCTGGCTGCTCCACAGCTGCCGCCACCTTCTCCAGCAGGGTGTTTGTCTTTTACAGATAAGTAAATATTTCATTAAAGTATAGAAATAAGCAGGGAGCTCTCCAGCAGCTTCCCAGAAATGTTGGGGCATGAAGGAGCACTGTGAGGAACCAAGACTCAAAACTGGAAGCCATACTTCTCTGGGCTGCACCAGATTTTTAATTTTGTACACAATAAAGCAGAAAATAAAAACTGAGACTTCACACCTCCCAATGAGAAGAGCAGGAGCAGGAGACCCAACCTGTATTTCAAATGTATGTAATGCCATCATTCCATTCTCAGCACACAGAGCAAGAGTGTAATATCTCACAACGATTCGATATGATTCCAATACGATTCCTCAGGAAACTATTCAATGTAGGGCTGCGTGATAAATTGTATTTTTATCGTTAAGGGCAGCAAAGACAAAACAGATCAAACTACCTCACAAGCGCAGAGCCAGAGTGACCTGGTTAGATTGGTGGTGTTAGAGACACGATAATGTTTTACATGCTAAGGTTACACATGTAGGCATTACACACGCATGCACAGCTCGAAAAACTAATCTATTCTGAAATAAAGCAGTAATGGTTACTGTCACAACAAGCCGGCATCAACGTAACAAGCTTTTTAAGAAGCTATATACATTTACGTACATATACATATACATACACATACGTACATACATACAAGTGCAGGCTGGCTTTACATGGTGAAACCTGACGTAATTAGTCGCACTGAACAAAGCAATTCAAAAACAATCAATGTTGCATGCGACACATTGAATTACTCCACTAGTCAGCAGCTCATATTCTTTTGCACCATATTATTCTCACTATAAAGTTATTCATGACATGTAACTGATGTTTACTGATGATTTCATTAATCTATCTTTCTAGAATGCTTTACTTAATACTAAATATTATATACGTTTTTAGGTGTGTATGTTTAGCCTTTGAAAATTCATGTTTAAGCAGCCATTACAGTTATAGCCTATTTCCACATAGTACACCTTCATTTCCAAATGAATCTGAGCTCTGTGTAAAACTAGGGGGAGAAACAGAGAAAGAAAATGAACCTCGCTGTGTAGATCAGGTTAACAGCAGGCTAAAGGAGAAAAAATGGTGGCACAAGCAGCCGTTTAAACAGCTCACCATTAGTTGGCTAGTTAACACAGAAACATTAGCATTGAGAAACTCAGGCTTGTTGCCATGAGCTTGTTGCAGAACTTTACATTTTGCACAGTAGTGAATGATGCTTTTGTAATTTTGTATTTTCTGCTAATAAAAATGATCAAATTAATAATATAATATTTTTTGACTTCATTGTTTTTATAATGACTGAAGCCAAACAACACATTAACCAAAGAGAGATTAAAGTCAGGGTCAGTACAATCCATGATAAACCTACACACATCCTTCCAGAGCTTTCTGTGTGGAGCAGCGCCAGAACAGGTGTAGAAGAGTTTCTGGATTTACATCACAGAAAGAGCAGCTGAGACTGATATGCTTTTTAAATTTAGCAAGAAACTGGTTAACTGGACAGCATCTGTGTTTAATTTTATAAGAGACTTCCTTTATTTTATTGGTTAACAGATATTTAGAAGGTAAGGTCCAAATATTTTCCAATCAGGATTTTTTACAAGAGAACCCCAATATGTAACTGCATAAGGAACGGAAGTGACATCTCTTTGAAACAGCCTGCGAATAGAGAAACATATCTGACCAATAAAAGTATGTTTTGGATTCAGGACTGTCTGGAGTGTGGGCTCCTCTTTAAGGGCCTCTTTAAAGACCATAATAATACCAGAATGCATCCATAACCCTGCATATT